CGCAAAGCTAAAACGCGTAGTTGCTTTAGGCGCATATATTTAATAATATTACCTTCCTAAACTCGGGTGTGCTTTTCATGTGACTCAAATCAAAATCTTAAAACGTTGAATAAAATGTGTTTAGGATTGCGGGTGCATTTCATGTGGCGCGATCCGAAGACATGTTTTAAACGACGTTCAATCTTCTTTAAAATGAATAAAAGCGGTTAAAAGTTAAAATTTGCACATAGGTTCAAAAGTGTTCTAAAATCAGTTAACTAAGCCAATTATAACAGTTGAGCGACCGTGCTAGAACCACGGAACTCGGGAATGCCTAACACCTTCTCCCGGGTTAACAGAATTCCTTACCCGAATTTCTGGTTCGCGGACTGTTAAACAGAGTCATCCTTTTCCTCGATTCGGGATTTTAAACCGGTGACTTGGGACACCATAAATCTCCCAAGTGGCGACTCTGAATTTTAATAAATAAATCCCGCTTCGATTGTCCTTTAATTGGAAAAACTCCCTTTATTATACTCCTTCCCCGGGGTGTAGTGAAAAAAGGAGGTGTGACAGCTCTGGCGACTCTGCTGGGGAAAGAACCCAGAACTTGGTTCAGGGTTCAAGAATTCGAGCTTAGATAAATTTTTATATTTGGCTTTATCTGATTTTGTTACATGTTTCGGCCTAATGTGCTAACTGTTGCTTTTACCGCTTTGATATTCTGTGAATTGTATATAAACTGCTACGAAACCCTCCTTCTCTCTGAGTCTTCTAAATCATGGAGGAGTGTGCACTTCGTGTGACTTCTCTTCTGTTAGAGTCATATCCCAAATTTAGAACGAGGTTCGGACAAGTTGCAAAGCCGGTGAAGCTTCTGTATCCCGGTACGCTGTCCCCCCTCGGCTCGAGTTGTCCGCTCGGGTAAGCCAGGTCTAGAACAAATAAACCCAGGTTTTAAACCTAGAATAACTCAGCCTCATGCCGGATCCCTAGTAGGAACGCTTATCTGCATCATGTGCATTTGATTTAGGGGACTCAACACAGGGGTTAGGTCCGTCTAGGACAGGTGTACCCAAAATAACAGACCATCTTGATGCATCCTATGTGCTACATGTTGCATTTATTCAAGGGTAAAAGGGTCATTTGGCGGACCAAGGATAACTGAGGGCAAATGAAAAAAAATAAAAAATAGTGAAAAAAGGAAAAAAAAAAGAGTGAAGTGTGAAGATAAAGCGAGTGGGGCCCAATTATGTTTTCTGTCACATTTTTGTTAAGGAAGAGAGAAAAAAAATAAAAAATGAAAAATTCAGAAAGATTTTGCACTTTTGCATCATTTTTCGAAAAATCAAAAAATCAAAAAAAAAAAAGAGAAAGAAAATCCAAAAAGATTTTGCATGTTTCATCATTTTTCAAGGAAAATCAAAAAATATGTTTTCTCTAAATTAGTTGTTTTTTTAATTCTCAACCGTATCCAATCTGCCCGAACAACGCATCCCTGATTCTCGTCTTTCGGGGCGTGATACGTAGGCAACCCACATAGGGACCGGTCTTCCTAGTAAATCTTAGGTTCTTGGCTTTGCGGGGTCTTAGCCAAATTTTACACTTCTAGCCACCTTTTGGCTAAATAAGTCATTTTGCAAAAATAATCGCAACCATGTCTTGCATGTGTCTAATAGGGAATGTTACCGTCTCACATAGTGTTGGTTTATGTTTTCTCATACAGGTGTGAATTTACATACCGGAGTTTGAGCATGAGAAGATACCCCAGGATCACTGCATTGAGGAGTTGCTTAACGAGATTTGTTTTATTTTTATGTTTTGAGTATGTACTTCATTTTATGTCGTCTTTTACTTTCTAGATTTGTACAGTAAAGTTTTTTGCTATTGTACTTTTTATTTTATATTTGAAAAGGTGTGGTGTAATTCAAAAAAAAAAATATTTTGTGTTTTTATATTTCTGTTAGAATTTTTTTTAGAAATACTACTCCTAGAAATCAAGAGGAAAAAAAGAAAAGAAAAGAAAGTTTGAGGTGGTTTTATGTTAGGAAATTAGCATCTAGAAATTTTAAGGGAAAAGTTTTTGTTTAGTATATTAGGACTAAAAATTCCAAAAGAGGAGAATTTTCTTTAGCATCTCTTTAAGAGGTTTTCTTTAAGGTTATCAATTCCAAAAAAAAAATTCTTTTGAGGTGTTTCTTTGGGAGATTAGTGAAAAATGAAAAAAAATTCTATATTGTACATACTTTATTTTTTGTTTATCATTAGAAATTCTTCTTTAGGCAATCAAAATTGAAATCCAAAAATATTTGTTTTATCTTCTTCATTGCTTGTTTCAAAAATCTTGCATCAGGATATCAAAATGAAAAATCCAAAATATTTTTTCTGTGGTTTATTCTTTAGATTTTCTTCTTAAAAAAAAAAAGAATCAAAAAAAATATTTTTCTCTTCTAGGATATTTCCTTAATAGAGTATTTGTTTCAAAAG